GCCGGGGGCTGCCGCCGTACCCTCCTGTTTGCGGAGGGAAGGGGCCGGGCCTTCTCGTGGCTCGCCTCCCCTAGAGATGGGTCTTTCCCGAAGTTCAGACCCGACCTGGAGGGTGCGAAACGGGCCTGACCCAGGCTGGGAGCGCGGTGATTCGGCCTCCGGATCGTCGCCGTGTGCCGCAGCTGCCGTGGTGGGGGTAGGAAGCTTTTCTGGGAAGGCTGTGGTGCGAGGAAGCCTCACGTCAGGCCACGAGCGTCAGGAGGCAGGGGTGACTGGTGCTGCCGTGCGTCTTCCCTGAAAACCGTGAAGTCACGTTGAGAACGCCGGACGGCCTTGGCTTCCCCGCTGCCGTCCGGGCTGGTCACCGCGGGCAGGGCTCGGCCGAGCGACGGTCGGCCGGGCCTGAGAGAAGGGTGCTTTACTGACCTGCCCAGGTGAGGAAGTGCACCCGGGCGATGTTGTTAGGGACGCTCGCCAGGAAATAAGTTCAGATACGTGAAACGAAACGGTGGCAGACGTCTGGCGGCTTACAGCTGTGTGGGTGAGACGGGTGTTCCTGCTCCTTGGGGAGCGGCACGGGGCGGGTTCCCTCTGCTGTCATGTGCAGTGCTGCAGGCAGAGAGGAAAGGAAAGCCGAGTCCTGGTCATGCGGCATTTCATCGAGATAAATGCATTTTAGCTGTTACAGTTTTCCATCCTCTATTGAATTTACTAGTGAAACTTTTTTATTTAATGTGTTTCTGTGACTAGCATAACTTTTAGGGGAGATGAAACTTCCTGTTATATTCTGCAGTTTCCCATCAAAATGGGGAAGCTGTAGAGTTCTTGGAAGCTGCTACGGAAAATGATTAAAGATTTGTGTCTCCGCAACATGAATTTTCCGTCAGTACATTCTATAAAGTGCTGAGCATTTGTCTTGTATCACCCTGCATGTCACCATGATGTAAAAGATATATTTATTCTATGTCAGTTTTCTTGCACAAGTTGAATGCTGTGCAGGCTCATCATACTTCTGTTATGAGTAAAGGGTATTTGAGGTCCGACTGACTAACTTTTGTAAAGCATGTCACTTCATTGTGTGGAAGGTATGCATATACACTTCCTTCTTGAATGAAGTCTACAATGATGTAGAAGTCAGGTTGTCTCTCGAAGTCTTGTTTGGAAACAAAAGAAAATGAGAAAATAATGAGTGCATCTCTAATTTATTTTTTTTTTCTATGAAAACTTTTTTTTAGGTAATGTAAGCATTTCAGTTTTAAAAGAGAGAGGAAGCAGGCATGTCAGCTCTTTGTCCACCACCATCTCCTGCAGTGGCTAAAACAGAGATATCTTTGAATGGCGAGTCACCTTTATTAGCTGCCACTTTTGCTTACTGGGACAATATTCTTGGCCCCCGAGTGCGGCACATCTGGGCCCCAAAGACAGAACAGGTACTTCTTAGTGATGGTGAAATAACTTTTCTTGCTAACCACACCCTGAATGGAGAAATACTTCGCAATGCAGAAAGCGGTGCAATAGATGTGAAGTTCTTTGTCTTGGCAGAAAAAAGGGTAATCATTGTGTCATTAATCTTTGATGGAAATTGGAATGGAGACAGAAGCACATATGGACTATCAATTATACTTCCACAAAGTGAACTTGGCTTCTACCTGCCGCTTCACAGAGTGTGCGTGGATAGGTTAACACATATTATAAGGAAAGGAAGAATATGGATGCATAAGGTAGGTTTATTGTCCATTACTAAAAAAACTTGTCCAAGTTGTCTTGAGCAAAAGCAAGAATAAAATTCTGTGACACCTACTATCTAGCAGTCCAGACACAAAACCTCAGAAGAAGCTGACCTCTCTACAGGTGTACAATTTTGAAGGTTAAAAGTTACAAATATGTCAGCAAGTACAAGACTGGGGTTTTTAGCCACATGATAGATCCTGGTAATACTACATAGCCCTTCCCAGGCTATCTAGGTGAAATAGGTATCCTGCACAATTTTTCGTCTTCTGAATTTGATCTAAATTGTTACTTTTAACTGTGTTAATTAGTGTATTTAAACTAGGTAGGATTGTAAATTTACTGTGTTTCAAATCATTGTTTTCACTGTTGAGGTCCAGAAAGAGGGACTGATACAATTAATATTGTCATTGTTGTTAACAGTTTTATTTTTTAGGGTATTAACAAACAGTTGAGCAGGTGTTAAATTGTGTAAAACTAATGGGAGAACCACAAAAATACATCTATTTTAGTCCAAATGTTTTTACTTCTGATATTCAAAAAGGAGAACACGCTAAATTTTTCTGAAGAATTGCAGCTCTTAACTTTTTTGGTACATTATGAGTATTTTCTTACTAAGTGAAAATTGTTATGTATTTTTGCTTAAAATAAATAACATTATAAAAATTTATTATGTCATCTTCATGGAGCACAAGTTGTCTTAGAGCAGTACATTGCATGTCAGATTTAATGTGTGTGGTGATGCATGTTTGTCTGATAAAGTTTTTGTTCCTCTTCTGTTTTAGGACCTCTAGTCAACATACTTTAAACTTTTTGACTGTTCTTATGTGAACTTACTAAGATTCCAGAAATAATAAGCTGTTGTAAATTTTTGGGGTGGTGTTTTTCTTTCTGCTACAAGAGCAGACTCCATCGGATTTCTGCTATATTGCTTGATGATGGCCAGTAGTGTTTTCTGTCACATTGTCTCTTGATACTCCTGGGATTTATTTTTCAGAGGAAGGCTAGGTAAAGTTCATTTTCAGTATAGTAGAAACACAGATGTTTTCATTCCTGATCTAGTCTTCTAAAAGTTGCTGGATGTTAGTGTTTTTGACTTAAGTGAATGCTATCTCATGTTCTTGGTCACATTACTTCTCTGTTATTTAGTGTCCTTTGTACTGACTTTTAATGTGAGTGGTTAAACAGAATTGTCCATTGTTCTTAACTATAATATACTTAAGTATAAGCATCTTGCCTCTTTTTGGACATGATCCATATCAGTATGTTTCCATAGTTGAAATAGCCTTCAAATGTCATTAAGAATTACCAAAATAAAGTTTTCTACTAGTTTTCTCAGAAAATAGTCATTAAGTTCTTTGTTCTTTTTCAGATGTTCTTGAAGCAGATAAGTCATTTGGGTTAGCTGAGACTGTGACACAGTCTGAAATAGAAGAAAGACAGACAATAAATATCTTTTTTTTTTCTCTTTTTTGTGAGGATGATCAAAGTACAAAATACATGACAGATCAGATTTGATCAGAACCAAGGAGACACTCCACAAAATAATCTTGCTAGGTTGAAGGCAAGTTCTCTTCTGTTCAGCAACTGTATAATGTAGTAAACTTCAGTATATTTGCAGTTCTGCAGCCTTATGTAGAAGAGATAAAACTGCTTTGAAAATGTAGATTAAAATTTAGACAGGAGTTGTAGATTGATAGTATTGAAATAAAATAGGCTCATTTTGTAGTTTGCATTTTGAGGCAGTTCAGGAGCTATGGCTACAACAAAACGAAAAACGTTCAAGTCTTTACCTGAAACTGGAATTTCTGATGGTTGTGATTATGAGCTCTCATCAGTTTTGTGTAGAGCCAGACAACATTTCCAGCTAGACTTTAGCACAGAAGAAACCTTCTGAACTCAAGGACTAGGAGAAACATGGAACAGTGTTCAGACTGGCAAAGAAAGGCAAGCAACTCCAAGCAAGTCATTTGTATGGGATTAGAAACCCCTTTTATCGACTTCAATTTTATGTTCCAGATGTTTAATACTTTGAGCTGTTAAATTGCAAAAAAAGTGGATTACACCATTTATTCAGCCTTATCTTCATGAAGACTGACTTCTTTTAAAGCAAAGGATCTTCATTCTCAAGGATGTCTTACTTCACTACACTGAACTCAAGGGTAGGGGTGCCCTGAAGAAATCTGCCACATTCCAGTAGTTTTTCACAGATGCGTCTTTTAGATGGTTAGACAAGTTTTATTACTGTTTCAGGGCAAGTTACTGTAGCTTGTTCCCTATTCACCTGCAAAAAAAGTTACATAAACTCTTTTCCCACTTGATGAATTTGGATTAGTTCAGTCACAGGAGACTAATGAATAAGCAGTAAATTCAAAAACCTGTCAGATTCTAGCAGAAGATATTATTAGTTCTTACAGCATCTTCCATTTTTGCTTATGGTGTTGATTGACCCAGTGATTAATGCCGGATTCTCTTTGTGAAAAATAACTTGATTTCATTGTAATTTGTATTTTGAACGCAGTTTGCTGCTCAGCTGCTAAGGACTGTTTTGAGAACTTTGTCTAGTCTCTTGTACATTGTGTTTTGTGTATTTTTAGGTTCATGTCTCCTGTACTTGGTTATAAAACAACCTTTTGAAGACTTGTCAGTGTCTTAAAATGTGGAGAAAAAAAAGTCCTGTTTCTCCTACCCTCCCCAAACAAATAATTTTTCTCATTCTGGAGGTCTGATTTTTCTCTTGCCGCATCAGAAACCATCAATCTGTACCTTATCCATTTGAAAATAAAAATACATTCATAAAGTGGATTTCTGCACCATAATCTGATCATTTGGCATTTTCTTGGTCTGTAATGAAGAAACTTAATGTTTTGTCATTGTCATCGCACCCTCCCTTTCCTGCTACTCCTGCCCAAACATGTGAGAGGTTTGGTGGGGGGCAAAGCAGGAGCACTGATCTGTTTAAAATCATATCACTTCCTGCTAATGTCAACTCTTTAAAAAAAAAAAAAAAAAAAAAAGATACAAACATCAAAATTTGACTCCAAGAAGCATGACTCCACAGGGAAGAAACTGTTCCATTTGACTGTTATGTGCATACATATATAAAAAAAATACCAGAGCGTTTATGTTTAACTGCTTCTCTTGCTCAGGAGAGGCAAGAACATTTCCAGAAGATTGTCTTGGAAGGCACGGAGAGAATGGAGGATCAGGTAAGGGCCACCTGGTTGATGCGTATGACACACCATCACAAAACTATTTGACTCCATCTGGTGACTGTAGAAGTTGGTGCTGCTTCTTATTTTGGGGATTTAGGAAGATACTTTGGACTGGCTGCTGACCTGCCATGCACAGGAGGCAAAGTTTCTGAAGATAGGACGATGGAAGCTGTGAACAAATTGAAGGAAAATATATTCCATCACTTTATGGTTAAAGTGGAAATCTATGAAGAATATTACCTTTCAGAAAAGGAAAGTCATTCACTTGAACTTGAAGCTCTGTAAAGGTAGTAGCTTACATAGATTCATGCTTGCCTTCTGTCAAGGATGGCTTTTCACTAGGTCATTACCTTTTCAAGTTACAGAGATGTGCGGAGTCTGTCATGTTGGCATGTGGTTGAAGACCTAATGGATAAGACAGTGAAAACAATTTGATATCTGAAAATGTAAATATGAAATTATGGCTTCAGTTTCTTGTGATAGGTAAAACAGATAAGTAATTTTGTATGTTAATAACTAATATGCCTTGGTTTACTGTAGTTGTTAAAACATCAGATTTGGATTTAAAATGCTTAGCAGTAATTGCACATAATATGGTATGATTATCTCAATACAAATACTTCTTGTTTAGGCCAGTCAAACTGATTGTGAAAATTGGCACAGGACCCTGGAAAAGCATTTTAGACATGATGTTGAGAAGCAAAATCTGTTTCCAGTTCATAATTATTGATGAGCAGAGCCGAAGAAGTCTATGCGTGAATTTCTGCTTGTACTACACCTGCAAATAGCACAAACAATAGGAAGAACATAAAATATGTTTTGCATGTAATATTGCAAGTTCATGTTAGTAGTAACTTCTAATACTGATAATGTGCTTTTACTTCAAGTGTTTTATTTAATGCACAGGGTCAGAGCATCATTCCAATGCTTACAGGAGAAGTCATTCCTGTAATGGAACTCCTTTCATCTATGAAATCACATAGTGTTCCAGAAGAAATAGATGTAAGTCCTTGTGTTCCTTGCATTCAAAATAAAAAAGTGGCTTTGGCACTCTGGTTTGATACTCTCTTTGGCAGACAAAATCCCACAGCAGTCATAAATTCTTGTACACTTGAGTTGTTTCACATCAAGTTCTCCTAAGTGGTGAAGGGCATAGTTTAACATAATTTTTAGTTTGGTAAATATAACAGTACTAGCTGTGGGTTTTATGGTTAGCACTTAGCAAAATTGACTGCGTAGGATGATACCATTTTAAGAGTGGAGTGGAAAGAATATTTGATGCAAAACAAAAGGAATGGGCAGGTAAATGGTTTTAATGATACTTGTTGCAGTGTGGTTTAGTGTTCTCATAGAAGTAGGAGTGATCTATTTAAACTGTTCTGGACAAGGTTATAGAAAAAACATTGGGATGAATCTGACTTGTGACTGGTGAATATTTAATAGGTGACTCATTTTCAGAATTGTTTGACTGAAGTCAGAAGGTCTTTTTAAGGTTGTGCTTTTGGGCAGTCTTAAATCTTAGCTTAAATAGTTCCCCCCTGTCATTAAAACCAAAAATCAATTGTTTGGAAGGTGTTACAGATCCTTGCCTAACCTTTGTGTATATTTACTTGCATTTCAGATAAGTGACACAGTGCTAAATGATGATGACATTGGGGATAGTTGCCATGAAGGCTTTCTTCTCAAGTATGAATTTCAGTTTTGATTTATGCTGTGGTAAAATGTTTTGAACTTGTGTGTGCATGTATGTGTGTGTATATATATATGAAAAAGTATGTGCATATGAACATGTATTAGATTAGCTTGCTTTGTAGGAGTGGGGAGGATGACATGTATTTGGCTTTTTCGATTTTTGTCTAAATTCTGTAGAAGTTACCATCTTCTTAGAAGACTGGCTCTGGGCTAATAGTTGTATCTCTGTAGACTGCATTGTCACAGAGTCATTTGTTTGATAATAGAATTCCTATCGAATACAATTTTTCTTTGATACTCAAGTTCAATTTTATGAAATACCAAAAGAACTTGGGGTTGTGTTTACTGTATAAACCATGAATAAGAGTCATTAATGGTATGACATAAAGAATACTTATTATTAAATTGTATATTTCTCGTCGTTGTTGTTGTTGTTTGTTTTTAATGTATAAGAGAAAGTAGTCACACTCAAGAGCAACTTGGTCTCTTCTTGTGGGAAAGCATATTTCTTAGATTTTAACTGATGTTTGGTTACCTTTCAGAACATCTCTGGTGTAACTGCCTTCATTTATGTAATGCTTAGTGCTATCTGTTTATACAGCATCACATACACTTCCTGTACTACTTCCTGTACTACAGAAATTCATGTGTTAATTTAACTAATTCTTCACAGTAATGTAGTATTTAGTTCCATAAAGAATGTGGGAAATAATGAAGTGAATGTTATGGAATGGCTTATTGTAAACAACTAGCGCCATTGATCCTACAATGATGAGCTATTCATGTACCAGATGCAGATTTATCGGGCAGGTAGTAGACTGTAGGATGTCAGTTATCTCCACTTGACACTTATTTTCCCTGGAAATTTTGTCTTGAAAATAAAAGAATAACTTGGCCAGTCATGTAAAGGGTCCAGATGTCTGGGTTTTAGCTTATCTGCAAAGCTTACCAGCTCAGCTAGGTTCTGATTTCAAGTCTTAAATACAGTGTTGGATGGATTTATACATGTCATTGAATAAAAATTGGATTAAACAAAACAAACTCCCATATCAACAAAACCAAATTCTAAAATAAGCACTCATGCTTTCTTAGTAACTTCTAAATTATACTGAACATCTGTTTCTGCCCCAAAGGAAGAATTCATAAGAATTCAGATGGCCTTAAATTTTACTCTTAAAAATATTCTTGGTAAGATAAATAGTAGCAGGTCCAATATAAAGTCCACCTGTAGATTTCGGAGCCTGAGTGTGGCTATTATAGTCCTTATCAATTAGAGGTGTTTATTAGAACTGGTTATTCACATACAATGCATCTTTCAGTAAGATAGCATAAATGTACTTTAGTATATTCACAGATACCGGAGAAAGTTTTTTAATAGTATTTAGACTTTCTAGAGTATCTAGATGTTTTGAAACTTTGGGCCAGGTTTTGGTTTGAGAAAGTGCAGGGGGAAAGTGCAGAATGAGGAAGTTTGTTAAGGACAATTTGAGTTGTGGAGGTTAGTCCAGATATATTTACTGCAGCCTCCAAACTTAAGATAAACTAATTTAGATATGTGCTGCTGGCAAGTCAGAAGACAAGATCACTCATCTTCAAGCATGCCTGTGTGTATTCTGAGGGACTCAAATAGACTAGCTTACCTTCCAAGTCTCCCAAAACTGTCTTCTGATCCAGATTTAGAAAAGGAGGACAATCATGAAATATATCTTTTGTCAAGATGTTTTCAAATCCTTCATTATTAATATGTGTTCTGTTACTTTAGAAAAATTTTTATACAGATTCTGTAATACAGTTAGATAGTGGCAGTAGACAATATTTTTTTGCTCTGTAACTGGTGTTTGGAGGTTCTGAGTGGCAGTCTTTTTATTCATCAAAATAAAAATGTAGATAATGAAAAACTTTTTTATTTCAGCTGTATCCTACACACAGCTGTGTGAGGTCCTTTAGGTATGGGCCTATGTTTATGCTAGGAGCACTTCATTTTTCTTATGAATATGATAAATGTTTTATTTGAAAAGTCTGATTAAATGTATTAACCTGTGTTTGTTTTTATTTGCAGTGCAATTAGTTCACACCTGCAGACCTGTGGATGCTCTGTAGTTGTAGGAAGCAGTGCAGAAAAAGTTAATAAGGTAATGCACTTTCTAATAAACCAAACTTAACAACTAACACTCTTAATAATCAACATTTATTTGAAACAAGGTTTGTCTATAAACATACTTGAGGTTGAAGATGGAAGGAATACTGTTTGTCTGAGTATCTCCTTCAGCTGATTGGTCAAGTAGTTGATAATTCTGCCTGAAAATTACCTTATCAGTTGTATTCCAGCAACTATAAGAAAACCAGTGAATTTAATTTAATTGATATTGTAGGTTGCCCTAAAGGGGGCCTACAAGAAAGCTGAAGAGGGACTTTTTAACAAGGGCATGTATTGATAGGCCAAGAGGTAAGGGTTTTAAACTGAAAGAGTGTAGGCTTAGATTAGATACAAAGAAGTTCTCCACTGTGAGGGTGGTGAGACACTGGCACAGGTTGCCCAGAGGGTCTGTGGCTGCCCCCTCCCTGGGAGTGTTCAAGGCCAGGTTGGACGGGACTTTGAGCAACTTGATCTAGTGGAAGGTGTCCCTGCCCATGACAGGGGGGTTGGAACTAGATGATCTTTAAGGTCCCTTCCAACCCAGATCATTCCATGATTCTGTGATAAGCTCAGACTCATTTACTACTTGTTTTTAACATTATGTTTGCTAGCAAAATTACATAAATTGAAGATTTCTGAACTGGCTTGTCCAGTTCAGCTGTATCAGTGAGTATTATCTGTGTACTCTTTCAAGTAATTTGTATCTGCATAATTTCCCTTATGCTGGGGAATAAATGTACTTCTGTATCATGAACTGCTTGTGTTTCATGCAACATCAAAGATGTTGACTCTGTAGTCACATTGAAAGAGGCAAGCTTACTGGGACCTTAAACTGTTCCAGCAATTCCAATATTTTTTTTCTTTGTAGCTGTGTTTGTGTTGACTTCATATTCAGTCTATTTAAAACTTAGATGGTAAATAAGTGTACAGTTTAACTGGTAGATCTTAAATTAGGTTTGACTCAGCTTTTCAGAAGAACCAGAAAGAGGCAAAGTAGAAATACAACCCCCTAAAACTGAGGCCTGTAACAACAAAACATTCAGTGTGTCATACGTGCTGGAGCACATTAGTAGGGATGACGTTTAGCAGCTTTCAGGTCCAGAAACTGTAAGCAGCATTAGCTGTACCTCTTAACAGGGCAGAGTATATGCATCATTATGGCCTATTTGGGAGGAAAAAAAGTCGCTTTTAGAAGCTGTCACTTCAGAGCAAGAAAATAATTATATTTTTGTGGTAGACATTTTTTCCCATGTTATTTTTAACTCTCTTGTAAGTTTGTTATTGAAATGCTTACTTTGAACCAATATAAAACATCACCTGTACTACTTTTCCTCTAATATTTCAGTATAAATTGAGAGTTTCCTGGTGCTTATTTTAAGCTTACTCAATATGTGAAGGAAAAATCAAATGAGGATGTTTTCCTTTTTCAAAATTCTCCTGGTATTTTTTTTGTATAAGGCTTTTTGATTATACCAAAATGCTTGTTTCAGATAAATTGAAAGTAATTCTTGGAAGAAACACACTTGTGTTTACTGTCCATTCAAGTATTTTTTAAAGCATGTTTCTTTTTAGCATAGTGCAATGCATCAATGTTTTGTTCAGAGAGATTTCCCTTTGACTTGCATTTAAGTAGGCTGTTACTCCATCCCTTCTAATAAAAACACTGAAGTTCATTTTCTGTTAGGATATTCAGAGACAAATCGTGAAGAAAATGTGTTCTTTGTGAGAAAATGTATTTCACTAAATCAGTTGCCTCTACATTCATGTCTGAGTCCCTTAATAAACCTATTTGATTCAGAATATCCCTGCAACTGGGAATGAAAGTAAGGTTTTCATAAAACTGTGCAGTCCTAGAGCCTTCAGGTATTAGGTGCCACTGCACTTAATGAGTATACCAATACTGCTGTGAGGGTAGGCTGTAAGTTTTCAATTTACACTGGGGCCTCTGGGCCTTTCAATAACAGTAGTCCCATGTCTTGAGACCATAACAAAGGTGCTACAGTGGTGCATGTGTAGAAGCAGTATATTCAAATAACTTCATTTTCTGATAGGGAATGTTTTTGTATATTGGGCTCTTCTGTCTGATTATGTTTTTAATTGTGGTTATTGAACTCAGTTTTATTTTGTAAGGCTAAAAACCTTCCTTTTGAGGAAAAGCTCACCTTAATTTTCAAAGTTGATGCCCTTTTTGATAGATAGATAGATAGATAGATAGATAGATAGATAGATAGATAGATATGAATGTACCTGTGTTTATTGCTTCAATGTGAAATAAAAATTAAGAACAGTGGGCCTGCTGAATATATTACATATTAATTATACACTATACGTATTATATATTTTATGGTATGTATGTCTTCTTGCTGCAGTGAAATATAATAGTCTTTTTTAAAAAATCAAGGCATCTTTAGCAAAGCTGATTTTGAAATAAGCAGTTCATGATGCTTTATAAACTGGGGGATTTGTGTGTATTGGCAGCGATGCACCTCTGATCAGATGAACAGTAAATTCTGATACTCACTCACCAGCAACAGGAGAAGCAGAGAAGAGAAAATTTTCAGTTCTTAGCTGAAATCAGTTAGTATGTATTGTTGCAGGGGTGTAAGATTTGCACATGATTAAGTTACCATAATAGAGGAAATGTTAAGGGCTTAAGTCATTGTTAAAAAGCTTTACGTTTATGGTTCATAAAATAATTAAAAAGCTTTAAGGTCTAAATGGTAATGAGCACATAAAATAATGTATTGAGAAGCTAGACACTATAGGAAAAAAAACAGTCTAGAAGAATGTGAGGGTAAAATTTCGTAAGTTTTACACAAGTTCTTATCAGCAGCATGCTCTTTATGTCATGGTACAACTGTTCTGAAGTAATTGCTTTCTTTATGGCATACTTTAGCTTTCCTTAAAGTGAAAAAACATGTATTGCATGTTGTTGAAGTGACAAAAAGCATTAGTCAGAAACTATGTTGTCATTGGTTTAGGTACTGCATAAACACATGGTGCAACAATAGAGCCTTCTCAAACACTCTACAAACACAGGTAGCACACCACAGGTTAAGACTGAAGGGTTAGCAGAATGGAATACCTGTTTGTATTTGGAGATTATTACTTGTAGCTATAACAGCAAAGGAGTTTGAAAATGGATAATGAAGTACATTTGTTGCTTTTAATGGAGAGTTTGAGGAAATTACAGAGGAAATAAACATGGATACTTACTTAGGAAATTGATTGTGTCTGATTGGAGACAATAGCTGCTGTTTCAATATGGAATGAATAAAATAAGAGGCTTAAAAGGCTAGGAAAGTAATCATAGTAACTCATGTTTATGTAATAGGAAGAGGAAGCAGAAGGCTAAAGTGATTTGTTCTACATATTTGGCTTAAAAACAAACTCTGCCAGAAAGTGTTGGATTTTTCCTTCATTTGACACGAAGTTGGAGTAATATGACTTACAGTTTAATAATTTAAGCACGTCACTATTCTGTGACCTTGATGAAGTTTGGGCTTTTCTAATATGCATGATGAACTTTTTGTTCATCATTTGAAATGCCTGATACATTCTAGTCAGAAATTACATTGAAGATCAATTCATTGCTTACATTTTCATGTTTTTCAAAACTGTTCTTTTTAATGCAGATTGTGAGAACATTGTGTCTGTTTCTTACACCATCAGAGCGGAAGTGTTCCAGACTATGTAGAAATGAGTCTTCTTTCAAATACGAGTCAGGACTGTTTGTTCAAGGCTTACTCAAAGTAAGTACGCTTAATAAAGTTCTATTTTTCTGTAGTTTAAGAACATTCTTCAACGTATACATATGTGTGTGCATAAGATGTGCACACACATACATGCATTCATGTTCAAAGAAATATGTCATCTTCCCTTTATTCCTTTCTGGTGCTGTAGCTTTCTTGTAATAACTATCTGCATGTTAAAGTTCCAAGCCTGTCTTTTCTCTGACGCATCTGTTTCTTGAGTATTGTCCAGAATTGTTTCTATACTGCTGCCCAGGGCAGTGGTGGAGTCCTGTCCCTGGAGGTGTTTAAGAGTCGGGTCGACACAGCGCTGAGGGATCTGGTGTAGTTGGGAACTGTCAGTGTTGGGTTGATGGTTGGACTGGATGATCTTCAAGGTCTTTTCAAACCTAGATGATTCTGTGATTCTGTGTGTACTCTTTTGCTTACTTGGGCGTAGAATCTCAAAAGGTGCATTAAGTTTTTGTGTTGTACTAACCAAAATAAGAGCAGTCCATCAGTCTGACAGTTTCCAAGTATTTTAAAAGGGCTGTAGCAATGGGTGAAGATGAATAGAAAAATAACACTTTTTGGTCTAGCAATCAGTCTAAACTTAACAGATAAATATAATATGTAATGTTAATGGGCTCATGAACCAGATGTTGCAATACTATAACACACAGATTACCTCAGTACTGTTTTCACTGTTATTTTAAGGGAATTATCCAGTATGGAGGACTTTTTACTGGGCTACAGTCACCAGTTCTCTCAAACAAAACATATCGAAACAAATGGGATATAAAATTTAGGCATGATGCTTTAATATTGTTTTGTTCCAGTATAGATTCGTTTTTTTAAAAAAAGTAACTAGAATAATAATTTTTTTCACTGAAACAGGATGCAACAGGAAGCTTTGTGTTGCCCTTCCGTCAAGTAATGTATGCTCCATATCCTACTACACATATAGATGTAGATGTCAATACAGTGAAGCAGATGCCCCCTTGTCATGAACACATCTATAACCAACGACGATATATGAGATCTGAGCTTACAGCATTTTGGAGAGCTAATTCAGATGAAGAAATGTCTCAAGATCGTATTATCCACACAGATGAGAGTTTCACACCTGATTTGTATGTACTCTTCTCTCACATCTCACAAAGTTATTTGATTTGGGACAAAAGAGTAAAGTAGTACAAAGTGTACTTCCTAATAAAGTACATGAGAGTTTTTTTAATTTTAAGAAGCTCCTTCAGCTCTAGTAGGTGCATTAATTTTGAAGGAATTTATTAGTTCTGTCAGTAGTTCTGTTGCATTAAGTATTACTGAAATTCATTTTCAGCGATACTTCTGACCATGTCATGTTAATTTTGTTGCCTGTTTTAATTAGGGGTATTACAGAGCTAAGTGTATTTGACAGATCCGAATGACTTTCCTGGGTTTAGTTTATTTAATGTGAAAGTTTTGCTTTAAAATTCTGTAATAGCCTTAAAAATAGTGAGATTATAATTCACTAAAATTTTGAATTCACTTTTAATTTCTGCCAGATTGTAAACAGTAATGCTGTTGCTGTGTGCAACTGCTGGACAGTTAGTGTCCTTTCATGGCACTACCTCACAATTTTGTTCACTTTCTTTTCTATAGAAATGTCTTTCAAGATATCCTGCATCGAGATACATTAGTAAAAGCCTTCCTGGATCAGGTAATTGTTGCTTTTTCAGAAAGAACAAGAGCTAAAGGCCCTAGTAACAGATAATTTACAATAAATAGATAATTTGTTGGCCTGGTAGCTATTTTACATACTAGTTCTTCTCTGCATAACTAGAGAGAAAAATACTTGGTTTATTTGTAGAATTAGTATAATACTGAAACTTCTTTTCTACTTATGAAAAACAGTGCACTTTTTCTATTTCTGTGCAACAGTGTCTACTATTACAGTATTGAGAAAGCTACCTGACTGAGATTAATTTGTGATCATTTTAAAGAGGAAAATAATACTTGATCCAAACAGAACTGTAAACCAGCTTAATTTATTGAATCTATATGCAGCTAGAAAACTAAGCATGAATGTTGAGTATTGTCGAGAAATCTGCTGTGAATGTGCCTGGTTTGCTATAATTAAGGATAGGTTACATGTGGATGCAATGTTTCTTTATATTCCACATTCCTAAAATTATTCTCGAATTTCAGCATCTACTTAATTTTCTTGTATAATTTTTAACAGATCTTTCATCTGAAGCCTGGCTTATCTCTAAGGAGTACCTTCCTTGCACAATTCCTGCTAGTCCTTCACAGAAAAGCCTTAACTTTAATAAAATACATAGAGGATGACACGTAAGTGAACAGATAATAGAAAGAAGGCTTTGAGAAACTTTCTCTGTTCTGTTTTTCAACACCCTTTTCTATTTTCTTGCAGGCAAAAAGGAAAAAAGCCTTTTAAGTCTCTTCGTAGCTTAAAAATAGATCTTGACTTAACAGCAGAGGGCGATCTTAACATAATAATGGCCTTGGCTGAGAAGATTAAACCAGGCCTACATTCCTTTATCTTTGGGAGGCCTTTCTACACTAGTGTACAAGAACGTGACATGCTCATGACGTTTTAAAGTTCTCCACTGTTAATGTGTAATATTGCAATCTTGCATGGCAGGAACAGAAATTTTCAGTATGACCACCACACTTGTGACACTGATTGACTTGTCTGAGGATGAAGCATTAAGAGCACAGTAACACTACAGTCTGTTCAAAGCAGGAGGGAGTCTTGTTAGCGGGGAATATCAACTTAGCTAGACAAGCATGACTAATGAATCTATCTCTTCTGTGTGCTTTTCTAAACAAGAAATGTTACCAGAATTTCCTTTGCCATATGGGCTTATGAGATAAATTTGTACATGTTTTTAGTGTACGATGAAGGGAAGTATTTTATTTCCACAGAGATTTTCTTCAGGTCTGTGTCAGTTTTTCCCTGATATGCTGCATCATTATTTTTTAGTGTTTCCACAGAAAACAATACATCACAGAATCATAGAGTGGTTTGGGTTGGAAGGGACATTAAAGCTCATCTAGTTCCAACCCCCCTGCCATGGGCAGGGACACCTTCCACTAGCCCAGGTTGCTCAAAGCCCCATCCAGCCTGGCCTTGAACACTGCCAGGGAGGGGGCAGCCACAACCTCTCTGGGCAACCTGTTCCTGTGCCTCACCACCTTCACAGTAAAAAACTTCTTCCTTATATCTAATATATAACTCAGTGTAACTAATCTAATATAACTCGATGTAACTCCCATCTAATCTTGCTTATGTTTAATTAGAGAGGATGTACATCTTCTGTAATCTTGGAGGTTTTGGAAGAGGGGCCTTTAGTTTAGAAGCATTTTAAAAGTATTTATTCTTATGTATGTGATGCAAATCTGAAATATATCTTCTCTCATATCCCTTTTTAACACCACTCGATCCTTCATTTAGAAAATTTAAAGGTGTTTGGGATTTTTAATGTGCTACAAAGTGCTATTCCTGTGTGGAAATTGTTGACTATTAGCAGCTTAAATAGCAGCACTGTGGAGGTGTAAACTGGGTCATTATTTAGGCAACTTTGTGCATGTGAGTGCCAACCAGGATACTCTGCCACAAATTGTTGGGCCATCCTTTAGTGAGCTGTTCAGTGATCCAACATAATTGAGCTGTCTTAAAACAGAAAACAGAAAACCTGTGTCATTCAGCAGCAGTTGTCTGTCTTTATCTCTGTAAACTGATGGTGGTTTTTCCATTGTCAGTTAGAACAGGGTTCAGATTAAAGTATTAGACCTTACCAAAGAACATCCAAGATGATAGCGAAACTGAAAGATAAAATAGTTTGGTTTGTTTTTTTTTTTACATTGGCAGTAATATATTTAATAATCCATAATTCAGAGATGAGCACAGGTATGAACAATGTGATTAGCATTTTACTAACTGGGTTCTAGTCAATAATCTTGCCAATCTTCTGAGTTCATCTTAACCAAATCTCCAACTTCACTGTGCTTGAAAATAAAACCGTGGTTTCCGTCTGAATGCCTCAACCTTTCTTTTTCAGTAGCAGGTAGGAGTGGTGTGATGTCAGGTTAATCCAGACAGATTTTTGAGTTGTCACACATGGTCGGTGTGTGTTACATTAACAGTGGTACATTTGTATTACATGTTTTGTATGTCTTCTCTTTTTGGACAAACACAGGAATATATTTATGCCATGTTTTAGTGTAGCCACATAACTCAGTATTCATTGTAAGAAAGCTGCACTTGTGATTGGAGAAGCCACAGCTGCTTTATTGCTTACATTTTGTTTATAACACTCCTTGGCAAACGGATTTCCATTTTCAACACAGCTTTTTATTACATCTTCCATGCAACAAGACATAAAAGTTAATAGACATTAGAATCACAGCTTTTCCCAATAATTGGATTTTATAAGGAATCATTTTCTTTATTTAGATGCGTAGAATTCCCTTACATTTCCTGAAAGACAACGATTCACAATTAAATATTCAGAGCATCTAAAAGATGTGGAATTAAGCTCCAGCTGCATACCATTTTTGTAAATGAACATCATTAGCATTACCTGGTTGAATAAGTAATTATATTTTGTTTGCTATATGTGTACGTAGGACTCTTGCAGGGAGCTCAGTGCTTCATTAAAAGAACTGGTAAGAATGCTTTCATCATAGGATCATAGAATGATTAGGGTTGTAAGGGACCTTACAGATCATCTGCACAGGCAGGGACACCTTCCACTAGCCCAGGTTGCCTTAAGCCCTGTCCAACCTGGCCTTGCACACTGCCAGGGAGGGGGCAGCCAAAGCCTCTCTGGACAACCTGTGCCAGGGCCTCACCACCCTCACAGTAAAGAATTTCTTCCTTGCATCTAACCTGAATCTACCCTCTTACAGTTTAAAACCATTACCCCTCGTCTATCCCTACACTTCCTGATAAAGAGTCCTTCCCCATCTTGCCTGTAGCCTGCTTTAAGTACTGGAAGACTACTGTAAGGTCTCCCTGGAGCCCCAACTCTCTCAGCCTGGCTTCACAGGAGAGATGCTCCAGCCCCCTGATCATATTTGTGGCCTCCTCTGGACTCTCTCCAACAGGTCCATGTCCTTATGTTGGGCCTCAGAGCTGGACACAGTACTCCAGGTGAGGTCTCATGAGAGCAGAGTAGAGGGAGAGAATCACCTCCCTTAACCTGCTGGCCATGCTTCTCTCAATGAAGCCCAGGGTATGGTTGGCTTTTTGGGCTGAAAATGCAGACTGCTTGCTCATAGGCAGTTTTCCATCCACTACTTCTTCCAAGTCCTTCTCCACAGGGCTGCTCTCAATCCACTCATCGCCCAGCCTGTATTTGTGCTGGGGATTGTCCTGACCCATATGCAAGACCTTGCCCTTAGCCTTGTTGAACTTCCTGAGGTTTGCACAGTCCCACCTCTCAAGCCTGTGAAGGTCCCTCTGGATGCACATCCCTTCCCTCCAGTGTGTCAACTGCATCACACAGCTTGGTGTCATTGGCAAACCTGCTGAGGGTGCACTCAATCCCACTGTCTGTGTCACCACCAAAGAGGTTAAACAGCGCTGGTTCCAGCACCAACCCCTGAGGAACACCACTCTCAGTGCTCTCCACTTGGACATCGAGATGTTGACCATAACACTTTGAGTGTGACCATCCAGCCAATTCCTTATCCACTGAGTGGTCCATCTGTCAAATCAGTGTCTCTCCAATTTAGAGACAAGGATGTTGTGCAGGAACAGTGTCAAATGCTTTGCAGAAGTTTGGATAGATAACATCAGTTGCTCTTCCCTTATCCACTAACAATGTAACCCCATCATAGAAGACCACCAAATTTGTCAGGCACAGTTTGCCCTTAGTGGAGCCATGTTGGCTGTCACCAATCACCTAATTTTCCAGGTGCCCTAGCATAGTTTCCAGGAGGATCCACTCCATGATCTTAATGGACACAGAGGTGACACTGAGTGGCCTATAGTTCTCCAGTTCTTTTTTTCCCTTTTTAAAAATGGGGATTATGTTTCCCCTTTTCAGTTGGTGAGAACTTCACAGGACTGCCACGACTTTTCAAATACGATGGATAGCGGCTTAGCCACTTCATTCGCCAGTTCCCACAGGACCCATGGATGCATCTCCTTAAGTCCCATGGACTTAGCTCCTTCAGGTTCCTTAGATGGGCTTGAACCTGATATCCTACAGTGGGCAGCTCTTCCTTTTCCCAGTCCCTGCCTTTTGCCTCCTGCATCTTGGGTGGTGTGGCTGGAGTGAAGACTGAGTCAAAAATGTAATTGAGTACCTCAGCCTTCTCCATATCCTGCATAACCAGGTCTCCCATTTCTTTCCAGAGAGGACCCACATCTTCCTTAGTTGTCTTCTTATCACCAGTGTACCTATAGAAGCTTTTCATATTGCCTTTGATGTCCTTGGCCAGGTTTAAGTCTGTCGGGGCTTTGGACTTCCTAACCTAATCTCTGGCTGCTTGGACAATTTTTATCTATTCCTCCCAGGCTACCTGTCCTTGCTTCCAGCCTCTGTAGGCTTTTGTGTTTGTCCAGGAGCTGCTTATTTATCTATGCAGGGTTCCTGGCATTCTTCCTGACTTTGTCAGGATGAATTGCTCCTGAGCTTGGAGGAGGTGATCCTTGAAATTCAACAAGCTTTCTTGGGTCCTTCTTCCCTCCAGGGCTTTCTCCCATGCTACTCTGCCAAGCAGATCCCTGAAGAAGCCAAAATCTACTCTCCTGAAGTCCAGGGTAGTGAGCTTGCTGTGCGCCCTCCTTGCTGCCCTAAGGATCTTGAACTCCACTTTCATGGTCACTGCAGCCACGGCTGCCCTTGAGCTTCACATTCCCCACCAGCCCCCTCCTTCTTGGTGAGAACAAGGTCCAGCAGAGTGCCTCTCCTCATTGGCTCCTCTATCACTTGGAGAAGGACATTATCATCAATGCATTCCTGGAATCTCCTGGATTGTTTATGCCCTGCAGTGTTGTCTCACTAACAGATATTGGGGTGGTTGAAGTTCCCCATGAGGGCCAGGGCTTGTGAATGTGAGGCTGCTCCTATCTGTCTATCAAGGGCCTCATCCACTCGGTCTTCCTGGTCAGGTGGTCTGTAGCAGACCCACAGTATAAAGTCACCTGTCCCATCCCTCCCTTTAATCCTGGCACTTAAGTTCTCGGCTGGCTCCTCATCCATCCCCAGGCAGAGCTCCAGGCACTCCTGCTGGTCACTGACACAGAAAGCAACAATGGCCCCTCATGTGCTCTGCCTGTCTATCCTAAAGAGCCTGTATGCAAATATGCATTTGCATAGAGGCATTTAAGTTGGTCCTGATGAAGCTGACTTACAGCTGGAACTCCTTTGTGCTGCTCTTCAAGTGCTCTCCTGCTGACCTGTGACCCCTTTGCAGGTTCTGGGCAAATTGCCAATTCTGGCATTGGCATCAAACTGGTAGGACTGGGATGGATTGAGGTTCCCCTCCCCCCATAACTTTAAAATGCTCTTCACCAGCTTGAGTTACTTTACCAGACGTGTTACTTGTGCTGAGCTTCTGTCTTACTAGCATTATTATTTCCTTTTGTGTTTCTAAGCAATTGATCCATGAGAAAAGAGCCTGATTGCACTAAGTTTTCACTCTTGTGTCTAAGATTGTGAAAAAAAATGTAATAAACGCTACTGAAAATTCTAATGTAGAAGTGTTGAAATCTAAAGAGCTTTAAATGTGCTGTTGAAATAAATCACTTCAGCTTGATAGGCATTGGAAAGTTAACATTGACACTACTAATAGTAAAGCTCTGTTTACTGAAAATGGTCACTTTCTGAAATTATTAAAAACTGGAAACTTTCTCAGTTGCTACTTTTGTTGCACAACTGTCACAAGTGCACTATCACAAGTGCAGAATGTATCCTGAAGTAAATTATTAAATGCATCTGCATGTTGTGTTGTAAATCTTGCTCAGGAAACGAAGTATTCTAATAAATTCATGCACAATTTTTGACTTCAGTTGCTGCTTATTTTTTTCATAGGATTTCTGTTCTG